ATTCTACGTGTCCTTTTTGCTTACATTTTACTTAAAACTTTCCCGTTACTCACACGATCAGTCTGTTATACTGAAACACACCTATTCTATTGTTAATAGACTTTCCCACCTATAATAATAAGTAGTAGTAGTAGCAGTCGCCAGTGAGCTCAGTGAGTTGGTCAGTCAGTCGATGTCGGACATTAAAGTATCAACCACCACAACTAGATTGCTGCGTCATTAACTATTATTTCAAGTTCCTAACGTTTGGTACGATGAACCTTTTTAGGACCGACTTAGTGAAATACAAGACTCCACTGTGAAACTACTCTATAACACAGTCCAGGTTATTCTCAGCATCCTTCTGAAGAACCCCGTTTCATTGTCCCTTCTTTCCCTGTCAGAAGATTGCCCAGCATTCACTGCCATATAGGACAATAGATATTAGATAATAGTTCAGTACACTCCTAAAAATCCATGACTCATCCAGTGTCGATAGTATGAGAAAGCTTATCAAACAAATGAAAGCAATCCATTTCTTACAGCCTTGCCTCAGCAAAGTCACGAAATAGTGACAATTGAGAAAACGTTAATGCATTATAATCCGAGAAGACAATCTTTTCATACAACAAAAATCAATTGGGATGAATATGTATAACATTAACACAAACCTTTGTTTTCAAGACAGTGTTTAAGTCTGAGTTTGAAAAGCATTTGAACCTATCTTGTGAACAATAACGAGCCTTCTTCTATGTCCGTGTCCATTCAGGACGTGAGTGATTATGGCTATCCACAACTTCCTATTATCTGTAATTCTTAACAATACTTGATTTTTTACTATTGTTTTGAAGCCACTGATCTTTTTTTAGGTAGGTTACTCGTGTGTTTTATTTTATTCCTTTTGCCATCAATTTCTCCTATGAGTATCACATTCTCCAAGCCCTCTTTCCTCATTATGTGTCCTAAAAATTTTAGCTGTCTCTTTCTAATTCTAAACAAAAGAGTCGTTTTTGTTTCCATTTTCCTAAAGCTTCCTCATTACTTATATGTTCCGTCCATGATATTCGCAGTATCCTTCAGTAGTATCAAATTTCTGTTGTCCCAAGTCTCTACTTTATCTTTAAATTCTCCAGTGTTCATTGGCATATAAGAGGCCTGATATTATATGACAGTCCAGTAGTCTTGTCTTCATTTCTAACTCTAATTTTCTTGTTTTTAATTTATTTTCTTAGCTTTTGGAAGGCATCTTTTGAAAAAAAAAAGCAATAATAACAACAAAAATTGCTATATGAGCTTTGTTAAAAACATACATGATAACAGCAAAAATTGCAATATGAGCACTGGTAAAAAATCTTTCTGAAGACATTAGGTTTATAATACTCAGAAATCCATACACATGGACACATGGCACAGTAGATAAAGACGTTGGTTAGATCCAGTGACAAGACTGAAAGACTGTGAGTTCAATACCCGGTTAAGGCAGTGGAGAACTTGGAGAGGTAATTTAACAGGACATCCCTTAAACATGGCACGTGGAACTAGAACAGTCTACCCCAGTGAAGGAAATAAAGAGTTCAGTTCGACATTCTGACCAGCTGAAGAAGGCCGGAGCGTACAACGGCCGAAACGTTGTGATAAATATGGCGACAAAGATGAGGACAATAGTGCGAATAATGTAAATAGTGTATATAATACCTCAACTCAGAAATATAGACAGATACTGAAAGGCCGAAACGTTGTAATAAATATGACGACAAAGATGAGGACAATAATCCGAATAATGTAAATAGTGTACATAATACCTCATCTCAGAAATATAGACAGATGTTGATCATACCATTTATGCTCTCTTTTCCAGAAACTCTAACCGTAGCCAGATCAATATAGTTGTGGCACAAACGGTTGGCTCTGTGGGTTTTGAAGAAAGAAAACATTATCTGAACAGACGTCTGCAACAGGAATTAGCTTGCCACCTTAGCAGACATATATACCTACTAGGGGCACCTCGAGGCGGTGTAATGGTTAGCAGGCTTGTCTAGCTAGAACAATTACAGCTGAGTAGTGAGTTCGATCCTCACTAGATGCCCCATACTTTCGGCCTTGTGCCACATCTAAGCTACGCTTGGAAAATAACTATAAGGGCACCTCCAGGCGGTGTAATGGTTAGCAAGCTTGGCTCGCTAGAACAATTACGACTGAGTAGTGAGTTCGATCCTCACTGGTTGCCCCCTAATTTCGGCCTTGTACCACATCTAAGCTACGCTTGGAAAATCGCTATATACCTACTAGACAGAGTCCCTTTTTTGTGCAGTAGACTGTCGCCCAAATGTTTTAGTATTCTATTAGAATTAAAACCAATTACTGTTCATTTATTAACCCTCTGCTTTTAGTGGTTCTTGAGCCTTGTATTGAGGGAATATTTAGTAAAAAAAGAAATAAAAATAAAAATGATGACATCAAGTATAGCTGGCCACTTGTATTCGAGCATACCTGTCTACTAGAACGGCTAGAAAATCCCTATTGCAGACGCGTGCTCAGGGGCATTTGTGCTTGTTCAACACACACAAAGCCCACCTGTGGTTTATACTGCAACTATACTGAGCAGACCTTAGTTACATTTTCTGAGAAAGAGCGTTGTATCTAGCGTGATCAACAATTTGAACAAGGCCAGAACGCTCAAGGACTCGGCCACGATGACTTGTGACTTTGTGCTAGCAGAACTATCGACGTGCACAAGGGTTACGTCTACCCAGTTTTACTTACAGAGCTTAGGTCAACCCGTGCTATGGTTTTCAGGCACTTTCCAAAGGTTCCGACGCTGGGATCGACCTCGATCCAGTACGATAACATTAATAAGTCGCTTTCTTGATAAATCGACAATGGTGTGATTCGAACCTGGGTCTCGTGGTTAGAATACGGATGTGCCCATTGAAATAACGATTTTCCTTTTGTTTTCATTTAGAAAAGTGGAAAATTATTTTCTTCAACTAACATTTGATTTTTTTTATTATTATTCGCTGTTAAAGTTTTAAAATAACATATATCGAATTTTTATGTAGTGGGTATTTTACTGGTGTCTTAGCGATGATTTCACAGCGAATTTCCACTTATGCTGTAGTAAACGATATTAAGGAATTATTGTTCTCGATCCTTAATAACATTTCTTTTTTTTTTTCTTCACTCTGAATAAATTTTGTGTCTTAGTGGCTTTATCGCCTTGTTTGGGGTGAAATGATTAAAAAGAATAAACTGGAAATTCTCAGAATATTCCAAACATTTTTCGTCAAAAATGAATCATTAATATGTTCGACATACCGTCTAAAAATTCTAAATATGAATAAATATAACCTTGCTCCTTGTAAATGAAATCGGCAATGATACAGATGTTCATATTTGAAATAGTTTATAGTTTAACTGTTTTAGTGTTGGGAATATAACCCTTGGAACAAAAGCGCAAAAATTGGCCGCTATCATTTGTTTGAAAACTGGAGGAGAACCTGATCACCAGCTTGCGAGAAACTTTCAACAAAGCTAAGATCGTCAGAATATAGCAGATGTAAGTAATTATGTAATTTTAAAAAACTTACAGTTGATAAAAGAACGAAAATATTTTTGTTACAGTGATAAAGACGGGCATCATATTAAAAAGTCATGAAAAGTAAAAACCGCAGCTACAGTAGGAAAGGAGGGGAGAAATAAGAACAGTAAAGAAAAAGAGAAAGAAAAAAGAAAAGAAAAAGAGAAAGAGAAAGGAAAGGAAAAAAGAAAAGAAAACAAGAGAAAAAAGAAATGAAAAAAGTGAAAAAAGAAGAAAGAAAAGAAACAAGAATAAAAGAAAAAGCGAAAAGGAAAGTAGAAATAAAAGAAAAGAAGAGAAAAGATAAAGAGAAAAGAAGAAGAAGAAGAAAGAAAGAACAGAAAAGAAAAAAGAAAAGAAAAAGAGAAAAGAAAACCTAAAAGAAAAGAAAAGAAAAGAAAAGAGAGAAAATAAAGAAAAAAGAAAAGAAAAGACAAAGAGAAAAGAAAAAAGATAAAAGAAATTAAAAAAAGAAAAGAAAACAAAAGAAAAATAGAAAAGAAAAAGAGAAAATAAAGAAAAAAGTAAAGGAAAAAGAAAAGAAAATAAAAAGACAAAAGAAAAAGAAAAAGAAAAGAAGAAAGAGAAAAGAAAAAATACAAAAGAAAACAAAAAAAGAAAAGAAATGAAAAAGAGAGAGAGAAAAAATGGAATGAGTTTGCCAATTATTGCTCCTCACTCGATCGAGGTGAATAAATAAAATTTCTGTGCACAGCGATCATAAATGGAAAATAAAGAGAGGCATGTTCTCACAGAAGGAGACTTTTTTTAAAAAAAGTGTTCCACGATAGCAGACCCAGATGTGTCGGCACACTTATGCAAATATTCCAGACGATCTTTTCCAATAAACAACAGTATTTGTTAAGCAGTTTTCTCTGCCAGAAGTTGGTGATCTTGCAAGCGTAGCTGTGGCACAAGGTCGAAATGATAGGACACCCAGTGAGGATCGAACTCACTACTCATTTGTAATTGTTCTAGCGGGACAAACCTGCTAACCATTACACCACGTCGAGGTGCCCCTTCCCCTGCCTTTGAGTGGTCTTACCTAAATAGCCAGTTTCACGCAGACATGTAAGTTAAGCAAGGCATCTTTTGATTGAGGGTTTGATCAGTTTTTTACGGCTTATCAACATTTTTCCTGGGCTTGAAAAAATTGACACTCACAGGACATATGATTTATTGATTGATATTTACGGATTATCAACCTCTTGTAAGTTATTTAAAGCCAGTAAATATTTTTAGATTATAAGATGTTTTTAGAGATAAAAATAGTTTAGTGATACAAATCTTAATAATTAACTGGGGGGCGGGTAAGAGTTAACTTCATATCTTTCCAAAAGCTATTTGCGCGTAAGTGAATATAACGAACCCAACTGGAATTGGAACTCGGCTATTCGATTTAAATTTCAGAGCCAAAGTCCATTACACAACACGCCCATCGAAGCTTACAGCACCTGGTATTCCCAAGCGGTCACCCATCTAGGTAATGACTAGGCTTAATGTTGCTTAACTTTTATGATCGTACAGGATCCGGTATATCAACGTGATGTGTCCGTAAGCCAGAAAGAAAGAAAGAAAGAAAACGTTTGGACACGTTAAGAAAACAAAGAAAGAAACATTTAGATTCGATACATTTGATAGCGATTTCTTAAAGGATACTGCTCACAGAGGGCATAAACAAAAATCCGTACTACACCCGGATAGTCTTTACTGTTTTAATCATATTCTCCTGGCGACAATTTAAAAAAAAGGTCTTCTATTTCCAAGCGGTCACCCATTTCGGTACTGACCGGGGTCGACGTTATTTAACTTCAGTGATCATACGGGAACCAATTTTACAACGTAATATGGTCGTAAGCCAAGGCATCTTTTTGAACTAGGCCAAGAAGAGAACAGAATGCGTCTATTGGTCGTGAATAACACTGTCTGACACGAGATACGTTAAGGATAATTTTGATACACCTTAACCGTTCAGTATCGGGACATATATCTATCTATATCTAAAATTCTAAAACTGTGTGTGTGTATTATGTGTGTGTATATTATGTGTGTGTATATTATGTGTGTGCCTGTGTGTGATCGGATGTTGTTTATGCATCTCCACAGTTTTCAACCGATTTCGATGATTTTTTTTTTGTTTAACAGATAATTCTTCAGTTCCGGTTTTGAGTCGAAATTGGCTGGAAAAAATTACAACCTTGAAGCTGAAAAATCGAAAAAACTGATTTTTTACACTTTGCGCAAAAATCAAAGGCAAAATTTAATTTCTGCAAAAAACAGCATACATTCAATTTAAAGAGTTGAAATCTAACGCAAAAGATTATTAGAATTATAAAAAAAAGATATTATGAATGAAAATTATTATGACGATCCATGGAAGAAGTTCCTTCCTTGTAAGACTGAGAACGCAAAAACGGCCCTTTTCAGGGCCACCCCTGCCATTCAGATTGTTACCCCTCCCACCATTTGGGGATGTGCCTCAGTTGCACATAATTGTTGTTATTAATATTGATTTTCGGGTGGGCTGACTTTAAATTTAAAACTGCTCTAAGTAAACAGCGAAAATTCCCATTAATGAAACACTCGCTCGCAGACAGGTTATGCTGCTAGTTTTAAAATATGTTCTACTAGTTGAACAGTGGACACTAAAAGGTTAGTATATAATAACATATAATATATATTATACTTATATATAATGATACATTAATAGTGACAAGATTTTGTTCAAATATTCTGACGTGTAATGTAAATTTAATGTTCCACTAAATCTAACACCATAGAATTTAAATATGCAGATTTTATTTCATATTTTCGTCCAGCGTTTGTAAGTCATTTTTATGGACTGCTAAACATCAAAGGTAGCGAAAGCTTTTATAGTTCGTGTCTGTATTTTTTAAAATGAGCCTATTTATTCTAATGAGTGTCATGGGTAGCTTAAATTATGTGCAATTTAGATATAGTCGCGGAAAGTGAATTTGGTATAGGTAGCCAGTTTAATCCATGCTCGATTCTGTTCCGTTCATTCACGCTAATGCCCTTTGAAAAGACATGAATCCAACTTTCCCTAGCTTACGGCTAAATAGCAGAGAAGACTGAGATCTATTGCATTGAGGTTGTACGAAGCCAATTTATTTGATTGATTCATTTTTTATGGCTTATCAACTCTTTGTAGTTTATTTAAAGCAAGAAAATATTTTTGCATTGTAAGAATTTTTCTTTTGATGAAAATAATGATTTAGTAAGACAAGTTTTACTAATTAACCCATAGCTGGGAGGAGAAGAGGTATATTCATATCTTTCCTAAGGATATTTGCGCGTAAGTGAATATAACGGACTCAACTGAAATTGGAACTCGGCTCTCCGATTAACAATTCCGAGCCATCACCCTTTAAACCACCCGCACATCCAGGCTTACAGCACCTGGTATTCCTAAACGGTTACTCATCTAGGTACTGACTAGGCACGACATTGTTTAACTTCTGTAATCATACCAGAACCGGTGTTTCAACGTGATATGGCCGTAAGCCACCAGTTGAAGAGGAGGAAAACTCTGACAACAGCCTGACCATTTTTTCCGTTATCTTACCCAAAACACATCCCTGCTGTTATGGGCGTTGTAAATATAGTGCCCTTACAGCTCCAATGGGTTACTGGACTCGTAACGTAAGGGACACTAAGTTTAAATGTGTTTGCAGGTATCAAGTATATACGTGTGTATATATATATATATATATATATATATATATATATATATATATATATATATATATATATATATATATATAATATATATATAAAAAAAAAAAAAAGAGCACCTTAAGGCTCCATTAGTTATAATTTATTTCACCAGAGATTTTATTTTTCTCTAGATCTTCAGACTTCACTTTCAAGGGTGAAAGTGGAGTCTTAAAATCCAGAGAAAAAAAAAATCTCCGGTGAAATAAATTATAACTAATGGAACTTAAAGTGGTCTTCTTTCTTTTTTTCTTTAAATAAAATTATTCGCTCTGAGTTAACATTGATCTCTCCGGATTTCATCCTCATTGGGATTACCTATACGGATTACCAAAATTTTCGTTACTTATATATAAAAATGTCTTTATATAAAGACATTTTTATGATTATCCAATCTTTTTATAGATACAAATATCTAAGTAAATGCTCTGTTATATAATAAACAGTATTAATAACATTTACCGGCCTGAATGTCCAAGACGTTTTTCTTGAAAGTATTCGTTTTCCGACAGGAATCGAACCTGTATCTTATAGCCTGACGTGCCTTAACCGATCGAGCCACGGAGGAACGTTCGATTAGCAAAGTCGATTTTACTGCTAATCGAACGATCCTTCTAAAAATGTCTTAAAATAAAAAATGTTTTTAAAAATTTTAAGTATCAAGCTCAGTTTCATCCTTAAGCGAAAATTTAATTTTAATAATTATATTGAAGTTTTTGGCTCTTGTTTTTGAAACATGAGAACTCTTATGTAACGAAGGAATCATATTTTTTTTTAAAATACATATAATCATAATTTAGGGTCTACTTTTGTATTGAGCACTGTTTTTTAAAAATAAAAACAGAAATATTAAAGAACATTGGATTATTTACCTAACGTGTTCATTCCTATTTTTCTATATATTTGTACACACACACACAGACATATATATATATAGATATAGATATAGATATATATAGTCATCACTCTATTTATGTAGAGCATGTATAATCACACCTATGTTAGTATACAGCGGAGGTCTTACGACACTCAAAGCTGTGTCGATCTCAAATAAGCCGATATCCTGATTCTTACTTGACGAGATCTGCTTCAATCTATCTTTGCTATACTTGCCCGACCGCATTGAGTAAATTAACCATAAGCGCGACCACTACTCAATCGTATCCTCCCTGTAGCTCATTTCCAGTTCAGAATGATTTTTTTCTTATTTTTTATTTTCCTTTGTTGATAACAATTTGTAAACATATTGCAATAAATCCAGTTTACGTTTCTTTTCCCTATGTTAAGTGTCCCACACTCCTGACGACTCTCGCATGTGTCCGGACCGGACTGGACCAGTTGGACGGGATTTCGATCACGATCTTAGATATCTCTCCGTTAACCTCCATTTCCACAGTTCTTTCAGTACAGCGTAGGCGCGGAAAGCGTTGATGGAGCGACTCCATAGAACTAACCAGTGTCAATCGTGTGTTTAACAAAGGAAAAAAACTATGTTTCATAAACAATAAATGGTTACAGTGCAAGATCTTTTTGAAGTCTGTCAAAGCTTGAAAGTGAGGACTGGGTAACTCCAACTCAGAAATGGCAGAAATACTCCATTTTTGGTCTGATCTATCTCTATAAAGATACTTCTTGGAGCGACACAAGGAACTGATCATTTATCCAGTCTCTTTATCGATGCATCGTATATGTGAGGTCCATTTAAAGTCTGGTCTCATTGTGTTTGGTTTTGGAAGTATTGAAAGTTACAAGCCATTTTTCCACCATTGAGCTGTTAGAGATAGATCAGAGGAGAGATCTGCTGCCAGACGGATCTAAATTTTTTGGAAGAGCACCCATAAATTGTAATATCATATGCAAATATATTTACTAATGAATACTGAGCAATCCCATCACAGATGAGGAAGAGACTTGAATCAATAAAAATGTAGTTCTACAGAAGGATGCTGAGAATACCATGAACGGAATATGTGATTAAGAGGGAAGGTTTTAAGGAAAATGGAAACAAAAGGAACGCTTAGAATCAGAAAGAGACTGAGGAAAGGAAATGAGGAAAGGATATTTGACCAACAGACATTTGGCCGAGAGACATTTGACCGAGAGACATTTGGCCGAGAGACATTTGGCCGAGAGACATTTGACCAAGAGATATTTGGCCGAGAGGCATTTGGCCGAGAGACATGTGGCCGAGAGACATTTGGCCGAAAGACATTTAACCGAGAGACATTTGGACAAGAGACATTTGGCCGGGAGACATTTGGCCGAGAGACATTTGACGGAGGGACATTTGGACGAGAGACATTTGACCAAGTGACATTTGGTCGAGAGACATGTGGCCGAGAGACATTTGACTAAGAGAAATTTGGCCGAAAGACATTTAACCGAGAGACATTTGGACAAGAGACATTTGACCAAGAGACATGTGGCCGAGAGACATTTGACCAAGAGACATTTGGCCGAGAGACATTTGACCGAGAAACATTTAGCCGAGAGACATTTGACCAAGAGACATTTGGCCTAGAGACATTTGACCAAGAGACATTTGGCTGAGAGACATTTGACCGAGATAACATTGAGCAAGAGACATTTGGCCGAGAGACATTTGACAAAGAGACATGTGGCTGAGAGACATTTGACCGAGAGACATTTGACCGAGAGGCATTTGGCCGAGAGACATTTAACCAAGAGACGTGTGACCGAGAGACATTTGGCCGTGAGACATTTGGCTGTGAGACATTTGGCCGTGAGACATTTGGCCGAGAGACATTTGGCTGAGTGACATTTGGCCGAGTGACATTTGGCCGAGAGACATGTGGCCGAGAAGCATTTGACCAAGAGACATTTGGCCGAGAGGCATTTGACTAAGAGAAATTTGGCCGAAAGACATTTAACCGAGAGACGTTTGGACAAGAGACATTTGACCAAGAGACATTTTGCCGAGAGACATTTGAACAAGAGACATTTGGCCTGGAGACATTTGGCCTGGAGACATTTGGCCTGGAGACATTTGGCCGGGAGACATTTGATCGAGAGACATTTGAACAAGAGACATTTGGGCGAGAGGCATTTGGCTGAGAGATATTTGTCCGTCAGACATTTGACCGAGAGAGATATAGCCTAGAGGCATTTGTCCGAGAGACATTTAACCAAGAGACATTTGACTGAGACACATTTGGCCGGGAGACATTTGACTGAGAAACATTTGGCCGAGAGACATTTGACCAAGAGACATTTGGCTGAGAGACATTTGACCAAGAGACATGTGGCTGTGAGACATTTATGCAAGAGACATGTGGCCGGGAGACATTTAAGCAAGAGACATTTGACCGAGAGACATTTGGCCGAGAGGCATTTGGCCGAGAGACATTTGACCAAGAGTCATTTGGCCGAGAGATATTTGGCCGAGTGACATTTCGCCGAGAGACATTTGACCAAGAGTCATGTGGCCGAGAGGCATTTGACCAAGAGATATTTGGCCGAGAGGCATTGGGCCGAGAGACATTTGGCCGAGAGGCATTTGGCCGAGAGACATTTAACCAAGAGACATGTGGCCGAGAGACTTTTGGCCGAGAGACATTTGACCAAGAGACATTTGACCGAGAGGCATTTGGCCGAGAGACATTTGACCAAGAGACATTTGTCAGAGAGCCATCAGACGAATAATTACTATTGAATTTCAAGTGATTAAATTACTAAATTTAAAGTTAAAAGTTTTCTTATTTCAATATTTGTTTATTGAAATTAGTATTTTAAAAAAAATATTTGTGTGTATTTGAGTAAAAAGTATCGCCTAATTATTTAAATTCATATTTAACAGTAAGATAAAAGCTAGTTCATCTCTTCAAAATAATGTTCATTAAAAGCGAAATTGAAAGATCTTTCATATCGTAAAAGCTTAAGATTTTTCCTGTAGTAAAATGTGTTTTTTCTTAAAATACTTATCATCTTACAGTAAGATATAATATATACAGAATAGATTAAAAAAGCCTGTCAAAAAAACCCCTGAGAATTTATGAATTAATACAGTAAATACATATAAATATATGTAGAACATTACGATAAAGAGTGTGATATACATGTAAGTACGCCACTACATTTTCGGCTAAATATCCATTCGGTGAAATGTCCGTTCGGCCAAATGTCCCTCGGCCAAATGTCCGTGTACCCAGCAAGATGGGGAACCTCCCCATTATACTTTGGCAGTAAAGGACTACCTTAACCAAACTTTTACACAGCGTTGGTTTAGAAGAAGGAGAAACATTGAATGGCCAACCCGCTCACCTGACCTAATACCTAATGTATTTCCTTTTTTAGTGGAGGAGGTGTAGCGAATAACACGGTGTATGAGAGAAATCTCCACACAGTAGACGAATTAAAAGACTACATCTCAAAAGTATTTATTGAAATTGATTCAGATCAAGGTTTGTGTTGAGCTGTGTGCCATAATGTTCTGTAGAGGTTCAAGGAATGTTGCAATGTAAAAGGAGGACATTTTGAGCAATTAACAGATTAAACTATGCTAAAAAAATTAAGTAAAGTGTTAAACAAATGTACATAAACAGTTTTGAACCAATATGATTGTAATAAATGAATATAAATGTGATAAAATATTCTAAAAAATGCAAAGTGCATACCTACTGAGTGTAAGCCTACTTTTGGCTGGCTCTGTATATTTTCGTATACAACCTGTGTATAATAATTTATCTTCTGGTCACATCCGTTGGTTGCATTTCTACTGTGGTTCAGTTTGTCTTCTTTTTCTGTAGCCTTCGAATGTCATCAATCAGTG